CGTGGCACCGGTGCCCTCCGGGCCCCCCCCTTGGCAGCAGGATCCTGCCCCGCTTTGTGCCGGTGCAACCGGCTGGAATAAAATAAATTAAAAAGAATTAAAAAGGGCAGAGGAATCCCCAGCCCGGCTCGGGGCTGGCACGGTGTCCCCCCCCCGGGGTAGTGCCAGCTCCTGCTGGGGTTCCATTGTCACCAGTCGTGGGTGGCAGGAGGAGGCCTGGCAGCGTGTTTGGGGACGTACCTGTCCCTTTTGGTGAGGTCTGGCAGCAGCCCGACCAGGGCTACCAGGTTGTGGTGGTGGCCAGAAAGTTGGCAGAGGGACAGGCAGAGGGTGGGCAGCTGTGGGGGACAGAAGGGGGATGAGGAGCGGGCATGGGAGGGGGCACAGAACCTCGAGGAGGGGGGCAAAAGGGGGGCACGGGGCAAAGGGAGCCCCCCCAGCCTGTCCCCCAGCCCCACAGAAAGGCACAATTAATGGGGGAGGTACCAGGGCCACTGGGCAGGGATGGGGACGCGGGGATGGCACGGCATGGGGATGGCATGGGGAGGAGAGGGGCTGGCACGGCACAGGGATGGGGGTCTTGGGTGAGGGGACAGCACAGGGACAGGGGATGTGGCACGGGGACAGTGGCACGGCAAAGGGACAGGGGAATTTGGGCGTGGGGATGGCACAGGGACAGGGGACATGGCATGGGGACAGTGGCACAGCAAAGGGACAAGGGTCTCAGGTGTGGGGATGGCACAGGGACAGGGGACACAGCTTGGGGATGGGGGTCTCGGGTGTGGGGACAGCACAGGGATGGTGGCACAGCAAAGGGACAGGGGTCTTGGGTTGGGGACAGCACAGGGACAAGGGACACAGCAGAAGGAGGGTGGCACAGCAAAGGGACGGGGGTCTCAGAGGTGGGGATGGCACACGAAGAGGGGACATGGCACGGGGACAGGGGACATGGCATAGGACAGTGGCACGGCAAAGGGATGGGGGTCTTGGGTGTGGGGACAGCACAGGGACAGGGGACACGGCATGGGACAGTGGCATGGCAAAAGGATGGGAGTCTCTGGCAAGGGGACAGCACAGGGACATGGCACGAGGACAGGGGACATGGCATGGGACAGTGTCACAGCAAAGGGACAAGGGTCTCAGGTGTGGGGATGGCACAGGGACAGGGGACACAGCTTGGGGATGGGGGCGTCGGGTGTGGGGACAGCACAGGGACAGCACAGGGAGAGGGGACAAAGGCACAGAGACAGGGGACACAGCAGAAGGAGGGTGGCACAGCAAAGGGACGGGGGTCTCAGACGTGGGGATGGCACACGAAGAGGGGACATGGCATGGGGACAGTGGCACGGCAAAGGGATGGGGGTCTCGGGTGAGGGGACAGCACAGGGACAGGGGACATGGCACAGGGATGGGGACAGGGGACACGGCAGAGCATGGGAACAGGGGAGATGGCACAGGGTTGGGGACAGGGGTGATGGCAGAGGGATGGGGACAGGGGACATGGCAGGGGACGGGGGACATGGCACAGGGTTGGGGACAGGGGACACAACATAGGGATGGGGACAGGGGACACGGCAGAGGGATGGGGGACATGGCAGAGGAATGGGGACAGGGACAATGGCAGGGCATGGGGACAGGGGACACGACACAGTGGCCAGCACAGGGGACAAGGCAGAGGGACGGGGACAGGGGACAGCATAGGGATGGGGACAGGGAGCGATGGCAGGGGACAGGGGACACGGCAGAGGGATGGGGACAGGGGACATGGCAGGGGGACAGGGGAAAAGGCAGAGGGATGGGGGACATGGCAGAGGGATGGGGACAGGGGCGATGGCAGGGGGACAGGGGACATGACACAGTGTCGGGCACAGGGGACAAGGCAGAGGGACAGGGACAGGGGACAGCACAGGGATGGGGACAGGGGGGATGGCAGAGGGATGGGGGACATGGCAGAGGGATGGGGACAGGGGACATGGCAGGGGGACAGGGGACACGGCAGAGAGATGGGGACAGGGGGTGATGGCAGGGGGACAGGGGACAGGTCAAAGGGAGGGGTACCTGTCCCTGCCAGTCCCGGATGCCCCCCAGCAGGCAGTGCAGAAGGTGCTGCAGTTCGGGCAGGGGGTGGCACCGCAGCGCCCGGTCCAGCCCCAGGAAGCAGAGGAGGGTGACAAGTGCCAGGCGGGCGCCATCGGGGTAGCGGGAGGGCTGGGTGACCACGCACAGCCCCAGGAACTGCAGGGGGAAAGGGGGAGGTCACCCAGGAACCCCCCCAAAAAAACCCCGCCGTGGGGCAGGGACAGGGTGGCACGGAGGGTGGCAGCCCCAGTGGGCACCCCTCCAGGAGCTGGCATCAGTGCCACCCATCTAATTAGCAGGGCAGAGTTAATGAAGGTGCTGGAGCAAGTGGTGGGCACTCACCTTGCAGATGTTACCGAGCTGTGTCACCAGGGTCAGCGTGTTGGTGGCATCGGGGGTGGCCATGGGGGAGAAGGATGGATCTCCCACAGCGTCTGCGAAGCGTTGGTGGTGTCCGGGCAGAGCGTCATCAGCTGCCAACAGAAATCAAGAAAGAAATCAAGAAAGAAAGAAATCAAGAAAGAAAGAAATCAAGAAAGAAAGAAAGAAATCAGGAAAGAAGGAAAGAGGGAAAGAAGGAAAGAAAGAAAGAAGGAAAGAAGGAAAGAAAGAAAGAAAGAAGGAAAGAAAGAAGGAAAGAAGGAAAGAAAGAAGGAAAGAAAGAGGAAGAAAGGAAA